GTATCCACGTTGGAGGAAAACTAATCAGATGTTCAGAATAGGCTCAGATATGTTAATGGGGAAACACTTTATAGGCCATACATTTTATCACTTATGCCCAATTGTCACACAAGCTTTATACATGTCCTTTTAGCCATAGACTTAAAGAAAGTATTGTCATTCATCATGGTTAGTTCTACACTGTGACAACCCCATTAGAGAATTCTTTCTATCCTAAACATTGGGGGCAACAGTGTGAAATCAGAGTTTTCTTTAGACCTTTTAAATATCTTACCCAGTTCAGCAATATGATTTAAAAGAAAGCTGTGCTTGTCAAAAAGTTCTTTTTATGAATCTTCTTGAAGATGAAGCAGTTTTGCAAAGCATCAGCTTTAACTGGCTATGAATGACAAAGGACTTAAAAAGGCAGGGTTAAAGGTCTGCTTACGATGTTTTTGACAAAGAATCTTCAGTTGCTGTGACATTCAACATTTCAAGATAATTAGAATTATGACTGATAGCATTATACCGGGACATATCTAAATTTCAGAGACTTTAATTTCTAGAATGTCTATATTAATAACATTTATCCATATGGTATAATCTGAGAAGGCTTATCACTCATTTGACAATGCTTCCCATATAATTTAACATACCAACCAATCCTAGTTAAACATTTTTCTCTGAGATGCCTCAGGGGCCCTCTGAAGCATCCCAAAGTTAGCTGAAGTCAGAAGAACTTTAATTACAATTTGACAGGAAGTTTGTCAAAAATTACCAAAAAGTTTCACACAATCTGTTATCAGAAACACTCTGAGTAAACTTGTTAGCCTAATAGAGGAACCAAATCTAGTCCTGCACCAGCTTACTTTTAATGACAAAATCCACTTACCCAATTAAAAGTTTAATCTCAGCCCAACCATGCACAAAACTCTGTTTTCAAGGCTCCCTTTCTACAAACTTTCCACAACTTTCTGTATCCACATTAGTTTGTCCTTCCCACCCCCCCACCGTCTAGAAGCAACCAGCTCCAGAACCAAATCACTTGTTTTTCCCTTAACAAAGTGCAATTCCACTCCTCATACCTTTTACTCAAAACATATCCTACTTTCCTAATGTATACTGAAGTGTTTCCTTTACTATATTTGTAGTAGCTTTAATGACATTTACATTAGAATTCTCAACTCTAAAAACCTTAATTTCTAGTGAAACCCAAGAAGCAAGCAATTATGAACTTCCTTCACAGTGGCACCAAACATATTTAATAACAGTCCTAAACACCTTTTGTCTCTCAGTGTTTAATAAATAATGTTTTAGTATCTTACTTTGTTTGGGAGTGATCTATTCAATAAACCTAATTTAGTACAACTCTAAAATTTCAACTTATCAAATATCTGGAGAGATCATTTTTAAGTAGACATTACTAAAACATAATTATTTCTGAAGCGTTCACCCAAAAGCTCTTATCCCATTTGCATTTAATTTACTTATAAGAATTTCACCATACCAAGTTTATTTTTTTCTTTCTGCTGACAAACTCTGTAACAGAAATAAACTTATGGACCTTGAGTAAATTCAGCTGCAAAGAACGATGTGTCTGTATTGATTATACCAACAAGTTTAAGCTAGCTTTAATAGCAGGTATTAATTCAATATTAAATATTTCTTAGATTACGTGAACCTGAAATTTGTCTAGCTTCTTTTATACTTAGAAGTATTTAATTTGTAAGTGCTTACTTTTAAGTCAAACAGTTATTTTACAGATTAATTTTCACATAAAGACAGAACCAGAGATCTCAGAGTTTTTCCCCTTTTGGACTCAGGTATTGAGACGCTCACACATTTCCCCCCAGATAAAAGCCAGATTGCTAAAGGCCCACTTTGATATACTAACAGAGCCATTAGGGTGCACTGTTCTCCAAATCTCAGTGGGTACTGAGCCCACACAGTGTTACAATTAAAAATATTTTCTTTCACTTATGGGATCATAGCTGAAGATCTCCCAGTTTTGCAAAATATACCCTAGGGGCACTGTAATTATTCATGGCCGAGATTATCAGATATCAAGCACACAACAATTCAAACCACTCTCTTAGATTGTCAGTTCTCTAGCCCCAAAGGGGAAATTCCCAACCAATACACCATCAATTCAAAAGGGGGAGAACCCCAACCAGCACCCCATCAGAGATGAAGCTAAATGAAAGACCAAGGCTAGAAAGGGAAAAAAAAAAATCAGGTGAAGCCAACGCGATAGGGATACGCTGGTGTCATCACACGTGAGCTCTGTTACTTGCCAAAGACATCTCAATCCACCAATGTAAGTACTGACACGCACAAACAACAAACATGGTCCCACAAACAAAAGATCTCCTGAAAGAGAATGGACCCATTGAGCCCAGAATGGCTCACTTCCCAGAAGGGAATGAGCCCAGGGTGTGTGGGTAGAATTTCCCCAACCTGCCCTAGCCACAGTGGCTCACCCCAAAACAACACACTCAAAAACACAAACAACAAATAAACTACGATCACAGAAAATCAGAGGAGGTGTAGTTTAAAAAGTCCACCTCCACTCCCAGATGAGGCCTCCAAACCGAAGGGCCCAGCTCCCAAAACAAAACAGAACCAGAGTGGCTCGCAATGAGCCCAGAGCGACTCACTTCCCGCAACAGGATGAACCCAGATGGGTGGAGAGAATTCCCAGCCTGAGCAAGCTGGAGCCACTCACCCCCAGGCGCCAACGACCGTGGACTGCAGCTCCGATGTGTCTCGGCTCCAAACAGCTTCGTGCTGGGGAAGCTGGCCTGTTGGGGAGAGTCCTTCCTGGTTCCCTGGAGCGAAGTGAGCTGTGGCAACTGCAGGACCTAGGGAAGGGGCCCCCGGCTGCGATTGACCTGCCAGAGCACGGCCTCCTCGCTGGCTTCTCCAAAACTGTTACTGTATGCAAGTTTTATGTGTCCCATGCATAGTGACGCCAAACAAACCGAAAAGTCGGAGACCAGAGCAGAGAAAGGTTTACTGCAGGGCCGAGCAAGGAGAATACGTGGCTCATGGCTAAAAACCCAAACTCCTCAAAGGGTTTCAGCTGAGCAATTTTAAAGGCCACGTGAGAGAGGGGTGGCCCAGAGTCTGCAATCAGCTCGTGCACAATTCTGATTGGTTGCTGGTGAGGCAACAGGGCGGTTAACAGTATCAGTTCTTAAACTGGTAATGGTCTGTGGGCTATGTGCTGAAGAGCACCAAGTAGTTAATTGCTTCCATTTGGTGGTGGTTTTTAGCATCTGAAAAACTCGGGAAATATGCATGAGTTACTATTATCAGAGAGGACCTACAGTAGAGGTTATGGGGGTGGGGTCTGTCCCGGGAAGGCCCCCCATAGGGTCCTGCTTGCCTACAAAAGAGCAAAAAGCCAAGCAAGGCGGCCCCTTCTGGTAATTCCCAGCCTCTGCCTGATCCTGAAGGGGAGCTCAGAACAGAAATCCTATCTCAGGGTTTGTCCAGGCAAGTTAACTGGGCTCTCTCTTTCCTGCACCAGGAGGTCACTGACTAACAGCAATCTGGAGAGATGTAAACTGCTACGCACCGTTCAGCGATCTGTGGGTGGTGCTGGCTACGCCAGGCCCTGGCACTAGGCCGTCCTCCAAAGAGGTGCAGCTAGGCTGGCAACATTGCGGCACACATGGTGTGCGTGCATGTGTGTGCGTGTGTGCGTGCGTACCGACAGTGTCAAGGCCCCATTGTTACTTTCCCCAATATACTCCTTGAGTTTTCTTCCTTTTCTAAATAAGAAGTTTACTATCAGTTTTCCAAATTCTCTGAATGAACCAGGTGGAATTTGAATTGTCACAGTACTGAGTCTACAGATGGACTTCAGTCTAAAGCTGACTTTCCTCTCCTACCTCTGCCACATCCCCTGGAGTGCAAATGGAGAACGTTTTAGTTGTGTTGTTGAATTAAAAAGGCTGGGGATGACTGATAGATCTCTACTGTTACACAAATGTTTAAATACTATTAAAATTTTGAAACAAGAACTGCAGTTAATCAATTAAAACCCAGGCATAATACATTTGCTTAATTAAGATTAGAGCAGCAGCGATAGACCTAAAATAAACTAAACGTTGGATTGGTTCAGATAATGATCTTTTATTTGTTTTTTTTTCTTTAAAAGTGGTATGTCAACATCACTTCATTTCTACATTTCAGAGTTCTGTACATTTCTTAAAAGGAAGTAAGTAATGCTCCATGTACAAAGTAAAAACAGAAAACTAGAAAAATCTGAATAAAATGGAGGAATTTGCCATAGGTCATACAGTACAAATTAGTAATTAGATGTCATCTGAAGTGCAATACCACTGCTGGGACGATGAGTTAAGGAATGAAATAAAAATACTCTATTTTAAACAAACAGTATATATATATATTTATATGTATATTTTTTACAGATAGTAGACCCAGTGATATCTGCAGTATTGTAAAAACTTATTTACAAATAACTTTTTTAGACATTACATGTACATCAGCACCGTAGTAAAAACAAAAACAAAACAACCATATTAAAATCTACCTCTCGATTTAGTTGGTCCCAGTACTGAGCATTTGGAGGACGCTTTTAAAAGATAATGGAGCCCCCTCAACCCAACCTCCATCAGCCACCTCCAGTTTCTCATCATTGCTTATATATTTCCCGTACCTTTCAGAAAAAGGTAATTATATACTCTGTGTATTCGTGTTTACCTTTTTTTTTGGTTTTGGTTTTCATCTGTTTCCACTCAAGAGTTTTCCTGGTGGTGGCCCTCCCCACGCAGGGAGTTCACGGTCAGCCTGCTACCACCTCTTCCCAGAGGGAGCACAGCCCCTGCCTGGACCCTCACCCACCTGGCCACCTGTGGTCTCTGTCCTGCCCTTTGCTGAGTAGATCTATGACCTTGGTACTTGGCAAGCAAGTCAAGAGCAGTGTTGGCTTGCCTGCTGCCCGTCTACCTCCTCTGCCCCAGCTTTTCATTCAAAGCCCCTTCCTGACCTTCCCTGAGCGCAGCCAGTCCAGCTCCAGTGGTGGGGCTGGGGCTCTGGTGTGGTGAGTGACGACCTGTGGGTGCCCAGGAGGGAGCCTGCCTTTCAGACACGGAGGGCAGGGGTGGCAGGAGAAAAGCTCACACCACTCTCACTCACGAGGACAACGGTTATGCCAATGGGACAGCGGGAGGGGAGGCGAGGACGAACGGGACAAGCCTTATGACAGTGGAGGTTGTGGATCCCTTCCCACAGGCTTCAGTGAGGGATGATTCAGGTGAATTACAAAGAGAACAACTGTACAGAACTTCAGGAGTGGGTTACTTTGCCCATATGAAAGGAACCCTCCTTCCTCCTCTTCATCATCAAAAGGTGTGAGGTGAGCAATTGATTTTTCAGTTCCTCATCTTCTTCCAGGGTTTGCAATTAGTCTTTCTGATAAGTAGGGATGAAGGGCTGGGCCGATTTTGGATCACCCCGGGGATTTTCCCAAAGGGAGCCAGAGCCGGCGACATCCAGGCCAGTCCCTCCTTGGTGTCCCAGAAGCAACAGGTGCGGCTCCTGTAAACCCATCACTGAAAAGCGGAGTAGCCCACTCAGTTCCAGGCAGAGAAAGAAAACTCCAGTGTTGCTTTTATATTTCAGGCATTGTCTAAGTTCTTCTGGCATTTATTTTGCCTCTGCTCTGGCTCCCTAAAGACAAAAGCTTCATTTCTTCTTGGATAGCCTGCAAGGAGATGCCAGGGCAGGCTGGGGTGGAGGCAAGGAGGGGCAACGGCAGGGACGGGGAGAAAGGCCGTGCTGGCGGACACACAGCATCCAGCTGGGGACACCCCATCCTGTGGCTGCCGAGAGCAGATGGGAGTTGCCGAGAGGTATCGGGTCATACTGGGCCCCCGCAGGCTCCAGCCCAACTCCCCAGAGTGACGGTCACCACGGTCACCAGCAGAAGGCCGCCCGCCCAGGGCTGCGAGGACCCTTCTCCAAGCTCGCTTGGCTGTCCTTGGGAGGCAACGTCTCTAAACTTCCTGAGGGTCGTTGAGGGCAGAAGACAGGCCTGTAGAATCCTGTGTTGTCTTCCTGTGACATCTCACTATTCTTGGTGCCTCCCTTCCCAACACAGTAGCATGTCTTGAAGCCAGACATCTCTTTGCAACCAGAGTTCAGCGTTTCTGACGTGCGCTCTTGGCCTGTGCAACCACCCAGAAGCCTTCATGAAACTTCCCCCAGCCTGAGGCTCTTTCCTTCGTGTCTCCAAAGCTGCAGCCTCCGGTTCTGGACCAGGAGGGGCTGATGGCCACCTTGTGCTGGGCAGCAGTCGGTCTTGGCTGGAGCGGCTCACACTGGGCCGGGTGATCACAGGGAGGGCCCGGCAGAGGGGCTGCGGAATCGTCTCTCCCACCTGCCTCGGGTGCGCCTCCCTCTCTCACAGGGGGTCCGCAGGGTGTCTCGTCTTGACTGCTGTGTGAAAGTCAGGTGAAATGAGGCCCATTGGGGCTGTGGATTGGTACCTGGATCTTCCACTGTCAGCTGGCTGCAGTTTTGCTCAGTTTACGTGGGTCAAAAAAACAAAAAAACAAGGATGAGTCAACATCCTGTTTTTTGTGGTTGAAGCTTTAACCACTAGGCTGTGGCTCCTGCGGGCCCCTCTTGACTAGGGGTTTCCAAACAATTCATCGAGCTCCTGCATCCACTCATCCCCCGGCCCACCTTTGATGATGGAGTCCACGAGATCTGCACTGTCTGAGAGGCCGGGGAAGGAAGCCCCTGCTGCGTCCCCACTGTAATTGTATGACATGTCCTGAGGGGGGTTCCGCTCGTAGGCTTGGCTCTGGCTGCTTGGCGCAAAGCTGCTGCTGGGCATCTGCTGCTGTGCCGGGGGCTGGCTGAATGCGGGCAGGCCAGGCACACCCTGGCTTAGGCCAGACATGACCATCGGCCTGGCCTGGCTGGGGCCCTGCTGCCCTGGGAGCGGTGGCATCATCTGCCGACCCATGGCAGCCGGGTTGAGGGTTCTCACCGCTCCAGTGTTGGCATCCACGACCTGGCTCAGTCCCTGTGGGAAGTGTTGCTTGGTCAGCCTCGGCTGGCCGGCTTGCAGTGGGTAGCTGGCACTGTTGTTGAATGATGCTAATTCTCCACTAGTCCTCCCGGGCATCCCCTGTAAGCTCCTCTGTTGCCAGCTCTGTGTTCCCTGCTGGACCGTTCCCATAATGCTCTGCAGCCTCGGTGGGCCCTGGGGCCTGGGCAAGGCCTGGCCGACTGGCCCCTTCATCTGCTGGTGCTGCTGGGTCATGGCTGAGTTCACCAGCATGCCCTGGCCAAAACCACTCACCATCCCGACCCCTTGCCCCGAGGTGGGCTGCCTCGGCCCCTGGGCTTGGTTGTGGCTGAGACTCATGCCACTTTGGTTTGGGTGCTGCAACATTTGGGTCATTCCTGTGCTCATACTGTACATTCCCGGTTGGCTGGGAGGCGTGGAGCTGTAAGAGGCCAATCCCATCTCCGACTGGGCTGCTGCTGTGGCCATTGTTCCTGGGTTCTGGGAGGGTCCCATTCCCATCATGCCTGCATTCTGTGCCATCAACCGTGAAGTTCGCATGCTCTGGAGAGCTGCCTGGCTTCTCACGGCTGCTATATCCTGGGGAGACCCTGCAGGGAGAAAAGGACACACCTACTCACGAATCTCCATCAGCAATGCACTGTAACAAGCTGCTGGACTACTTCCCTTTGGGAATATAAAATTCGTTTATCTGAAAGGATCTACTCTGATAATGATGATTATTTTTCTGACTATAACATGCTGATTGTGAAAAAGTTGAAAATACTGAAAAGCACAAAGAAGAAAATTAAGTCACCCTAACTCCCACTATCCAGAGGTGACCACTGCTAACTTATATTAATATATAAATAGACACACAAAAATTGGGATCATACAGTACACATGCTTTTGCAGTTGACTTTTCCACTTGAGAGACCCTGATATTATTTTTGTTCACATTCAGAAGCAAATTGTTTCTTACTCTTCTTAATATGATACTATCCTCAACCAGTAAGATACCATTTTTTTTTTTTTGGAGGTATGAGGAAATTCACCTCCTGGGCTAAATTAGCAAGAAACGGCTGGTCACTTTGCATATCCTATTTGTGAAGTGGAACATGGTTCAGTAGAGAATACTATCAATAAAGACCATTAGATTAATTTCCCTTAAGACTTGAGTAGGATTTGAGAGGTTAAAGGCCATTGCTTCGGCTAAGAAGCTGTTTCGACAGATGGGACATTTTTTTGGATCCCCTCTGTAGGTTTTCACATGCTCCAGATTCTCTGAATCAAAACATGTCAGTGCAAACTGGCCAGCTTCCTGAGTCAGAAAAAGAAATCATCCTGCTACTTGCTACTTGGCAATGAACTTTATGTGTTTCTCCAGCAAAGGCCACTCCTTCAAATCAGCAGGGACCACTAAAGCGGTTTTAATGATGCTGCCTTAAAAGTTGGCCAGTCACTCAACCAAGTCACTCAACTCTAATTAGGCATTTGAGTGAATCCTTTTTTAAATGTTTCTAGGAAATTTCTAAACTAGCCAAGAGGATAAAAATGTCACCCTTTGAACCTCAGTCAATGTTGTCAAGGTCTAGGAGGTATACAAAAATGAGTTTTTCTGTGTCCCTGTTAATGATTAAATCCATGAAAAAAAGAGAAAAATAGTTTTTTCCCTGGACATTTAAAAAAGGTACAGCATAGGAACCAACTGATATTCTAAGCAAATTCGATCCTCCCTGGAACTGGGATGAGAAACCAGATGAGAATAGTGTAACCCGGTTAAGCCTGGCACCTTGGCAGGAAACTGAAGTGTGCTTTTGTCTTCCTGATGGGGTTATTGATTTCTGGGCAGCAAATATGTCTCCATATTTTCTTTCTTTCTTTAAGAAAGAAAATTACAGGAATTTTGATTATGACTTAAGTTTTTGTGGCTTGAGATCAATAACACACTGCACTGAAAAATGAAATGGTCACTGTGTGGAAACCTCAAAGATCTGGGGGAGATCCCTAGAAACGTTGCCGTTTTTTTTTGTTTTAAGCTTAACCATATCTAAGTGGATTTAAAAAAAAATCAAAAGTTCCTGGTTAAACACTGGATGGTAGTATATATTGCAACTTGTAATCTTGTTATGAAGTTTTGTGACCTTAACGACTTAATTTATATCGACTGCATGGCCCATCTGATCAACTGTGGTAAATGGGTTATTGAGTTGCTTATAAAAAAATTTAAGGGAAAAATATTGCTGACTCAGAGATTGATTGGATAGACCAAATTACATAAATAGGCTGCTGGAAACAGATGAAAGGACTTTCATATTTTGGACATTTTTGTTGTTAATTTTCAAATAAATATGTTGAGGGATTGGATACTGTCTGGACTAATTTTGTGAATGAGAAATAGTTTCTCTTCTTTAGAGGGCAAAAATGCTGCAGTGTCTTTTAAGAGGTATTGAAACATTAATCCAAGCCAACCATTATTTTTACTTAGTGTAAATGACCACGCTATCCAGATGTAATTCTTATTTTAAAAAAAGGACATTTTAATATCAGCATTCAGCACGGTATTTTCAACCTAGGAAAAATAAAAAGCTTGTTACTAATCTAGTCTTTATAATTTTAGGAATTTTAAATGTACAAAGGAAAAAAATTCAAATGCATTCAAAGAATTAACTTGTCTTTACCTGATGACTACATACGTTAAACAACAGGCTACTTTTTCTCCTTCTTTTTTAATTTTTGTCTAAAACAGGTATTACTGTGAGACACCATGGTCAAATTAATTTTCCTGTCTGCTGGTTAACATCACAGTGTCAAAGAAAATTTTCTATATTCAAATAAAAATGGTAATATGCAATTTATTCCCTAAAAGGATCCGTGTTATATTTTCACTCACAAGAAGTCTATATTTATGAAAAACAAGCATTTCCCCATAGGCATGTAACACTGCCCAGAGGCACAAAACTCAGTAAGAAAAAGATAGTCATTAAAACCTTTGAAAAGTGTAGTGGTGAGAGTACCTATAGGTTCCTAACAGAACTTCTCTCCAAGGACAGTACTTCTTATCTATCAATTTGCTATTTTCCCAGGTACATAACATTATGATACCTTGGGTGTTAGTAAAATACGTGAAAATACTGAAGAGAGTAAAACAAAATTACCATTCAGCTCAGGAACTCTGAAATGTCACGGGTTGTTTAGCTTCAGTGTAGCTACATTTTTAGGTTAATTACCTGTGATTTGGGGTTTCAGAAAAGATCAAAGAGCAGAACTTTTCTTTAAACTGGACCCAAGCATTAAGAACATAGAGGAGTTATTCAACTCCTCTGTCCATGTATTCTAAAAAATAATACATGAGTTACAAACCTAGAAAACTCAAGGGACACTAAACCAGGTTTATCAGATTCAATGGTTTCAGTTAGTTTCTAATATAAAGGACCAGTTCTCGAAGTGTGGCCCTTGGGCCAGCAACACGGGGAACTTGTGAGACAGGCAAATCCCACCCACCACTGGCACCGAGATGACAAGACACAAACCAGGCGATATTGGGCGAAAAGACACCTGCATGTCTTTTTCGGTTATTGAACTACTGAAATACTTCTGTACTTTTGGTGAGGAACAGCTGTCCCAGTCCCACCCCCACAGCCACCCGACCCCTCCGTGGGCCCACCAACATCTCCCTGGGGCCCAGTGACCAAGAGGTTATCGCCTGGCATTCTGACTGGTTGGTGCCTTTCGTTCTTAAACACTGTTAATGTTACCGGGACACAAACACAGCCCACGTGGCATTGTCGCTGGCTATACATTCACGTACGCTTCCCAGTTGGAAGGTACACAACGGCAGGGGTGTGCCTCACCTTGAAACTGGTTGACCTGCTGCACTGGGTACGGATTCCGCTGCTGCTGGAGGTGCTGCCGGGGTAAGTGTGGTTGCTGCAACTGCTGAAAGACAGAGGGCGGGAAGGGCGGGAAGGTGAGATGAGAGACAGCGTGCAATTAAAGATCCTGGAGATGCTGAGGAAGGCGGTTTTCAAAAACTCAACTCTGAGTTGAAGGTAACATTCATATAGGTAAGTGCAAAGCATATAGCATCCGCGTACAGTGTGATGGGTTTTCACAGGTGAACACGCTCCTGGGAACCAGCACCTGGATTAAGAAACAGAACCCTGTGAGGAGCCCTCATGCCCCTTTCCAGTCATTACTTTCATCCGACCCGCTGGAACCACTATCCCAAGCTAACAACAGGTGAGTTACGTCTGCTTCTGTACTTTATAGAAGGGGGTTTACACAGTGTATTCAAGTCTGGCTTTTGTGTCTGGCTCTTTGGTTTAATTGTATATGAGAGCTTCATCCACAGTGATGCGTGCAGTGTGGTCTGTTAATTCTCACTGTTGAGCACTAGTCCCTCACATGAACACACCAAGATTTATTTACCTGTGCACCAGGGATAGTTATTTAAGGGTGCCTCCGGGTTTAGGCTGTCACAGATACCACTGCTATGAGCATCCTTGATCAACATCTATGGCTCTTCTGCTGTGTGGACTTGCTGGTTTATGAGGAAGGAGCAGTGAAGGAGGCAGCTCTGACTCTGATTTTCCAACATCAGCCCGCATGCTTTCCTCATGCTGAGGACTGAGCTCAAATGGACAAGCAACTAATTTTTAATGACCAAAATAGATGCTTCGGGTGTAAGAAGATGGGATTCTCAGAAACTACACAAAAGTCTCCTTTTATTCCCAGGAAGCCATACTGCCTGCAAAACACATCTCCACAAGCCAGATACACAGCATTTACTGCCTTGTGGAGACCGTGAGGGGTTCCATGTATACCGTGGGCCAGGAGGCTTGCGTTTTAGTTTTTCGTCTTACTGTCACGGGGATTCTGCTCGGCCAGCCCTGTTGCCAATATACTGGGAAGGCTATTATGACCATTATCATGCTGTATGTGAAAAAGGGAGAGGAAATCAGAATATGGTGGAAAGAGCAAAGAAAGGGGTTTTAGTTCTAGGTCTGCGGTCAAATAGCTGCGTGACCTCTGGCACGTCGCTTAACCTCCTTCTGCAGCTGCTAAATATTCATTAAGCACCTTTCATCTGCAAGGGTTCTAAAAACATAGACAAGGGCCAGGCTCTTAAGAGTGTTCATTACAAAAATAACACACATTGACCACTTCTTAACACATGTGTTTATTTCTATTTTTTCTCTTGTTTTTGTTCCTGGGCAGCTCTGTAATTTTCCTTTTCTTTCTTTCTTTTTTTCCCCTTTTTCTTGACAAGACCAGTTGGCACTCTGGCGTGGGGACACCCCTGGGCTGGTACAGCCGTACTCGGCCTGCTTACCCCCCATTCCCTCTGCGTCTTGGTCACAGTATCAGGCACACTTGAAATTGCCTGGGATTGGCTGAGGAGAGGATTTGCAAAGCCCAGCGTCCCTGCAGCAGCTCCATTTATCACTGCCTCAGAGAGATTAGCGTGGCTCCTTGTCACATACCTTATGCGGGGTGAGAGGGATAGAGGTTTGTTTGCACAAGAGCTGCCAGGCGGCTGACTGACCTCGGTAAAAAGGGAGATAATTACACAGCTGTTCAGGAACAAAAGCAAAAAGGGAACATAAGTGAACTGTGCTCAATGGTACAATTTTTCTATTTGGGGGACGACTGGTGTTACTTTGAATGGCTGCTCTTGGTTAGTAAGGACCTCAATGCACCTTGTGTCCTACACAGTATCTTGTATAGATATGGTGGAGGATATTTAATAAATTTCCAAAATTCTGATCCTACTAGGAACATTCTAGAAGGGTAACTGTGGGCCTTGAGCCTTAGATGACAGCCTCACATCTCCTATAATAGAAGGGTGTGATGCAATGGACCACCCCCCACAGAAGCTAACTAGGGACCTCCTGTGGAAGGTCTCAGGCCTTTCCTGGGATAACACTAAATCAGGCACGGGCATCTTGAAAAAACAAAACGCACTGAAACTTAGGGCAGCGGGCAGGGAAGGCTTTCTTTCAAAGCTGAAGGAATTATATGTCAAGGGCGGTCAAAGATGTCTAGGGTAAAGCTTTCTGTGTATTAGGCCTTCCTTTAACTCAAAGATTTCCTGAACTGTTTTAAAAGCTGCTGGGAATTTTCTCAAGTTTGCACCCTTTCTGTGACCCTGAGTTCAGGTTTCCAGGTAGTTCTGTGGGCCCTATTATTCTGCTATTGTTCCCGTTCCATTGTTCATGACCAATTCTGTAAGAATTCTCCTCAATCCCTCCTTTTGACACTTTCCTCCAAGAAACAAACTTCTCTGAATTATTTTCTTTTTTCTCCAGGCTGGAAATATTAGAGTTTGTGAAGACTGTGAACCAGCCCCCTCCCATCACTGCCCCCCATGCTGATTACACAGACCCCTGCACCAGAAACCAGAAGAAAAGAGCCAGCCTTGAATGGAAGAAGGGTCTCTGGCGAATGGGTCTTCAAACGGATGGTGGAAGCCTGTCTTTTAAGAACAAACGAATTCGTTCTAAGAAAAAGCCCAGCTAATTGAAGGGTCTAAATTCTGCAGGTTCTTCTGCAGATCTCAGAAAGGCTGGCTTGTGAATTTCTTGATGAAGGACACGAACTGAGGTGCCCTCACAGACACCAGGCGCGGGATAAATGTTTGCTGAACGAATGACTCACACCATGGGCGCGTGTTACCTGCTCGGCCAGAATCTGCTGCTGCTGCTGCTGCCTCTGCTCCCGCAGGAACTGCTGCTTCTGCTGCTCCATCAGCTGGGCCCGCTGATCAATGAGCATCTGCTTCATGATGGCTGCCTGGGGCTGGCTGCCCAGGAAGCCGGGACCCGCGGGACTGGCTCCTGAGACCATGCCGCCGGCGCCTGGAGGTACGGAGGACTGCATGGGGCCCGCTGTCCTCGGAAGCCCCACCGGGTGCTGCTCCTGGGAGGACAGGAAGAGAAGAGAATGCAGCGATTCCACATCTGAAGGGAAGCATTGGGGAAGGGGGATGGGGCAGGTCCCCAGCTTGTGGACCTGCGGGATCCTGAGTGGCACACGTTACATTTCCATAAAATAACCCAGTGGTCCTCAAACCTAGCCTGACCACAGTGAGAGTGGAGAGGCTACAGGGGACAGTAATACAGCAGGGCTCTGGGGAACCTGAGACCAGGTCCAGTTGTTTTCGATGGGACTGGCTAAGGAACAAGAATTGGGTTTTCAGCTAATAATCCGAGTGCCTCCAAAGGAAAAGGAATAAATCCTTGGAGGCAGGGCTCACCTTGAACCTGGAATGAGACAGCCTTGACCTTACCTCTTAATCCTTCCTGCCTACCTGGCCAAAATGGGCTTCTTATGCTTCCATATTTTGGTAATTATAAATAATGTTGCTGTTACTAGTCGGGTGTAAGTATCTTTTTGAGTTAAT